GGCGCCTTAGCCGGTTGAGCTATAGGCGCCGAGCCAATGTGCATGTTTTAAGCCACTAACTTGGCGGTGATTTGTTGCACAGCAAGAGATAATAGGCACTTCGTTGTCACTCAATAAGTTTATTGAACAAATGAATGTAAATGGATAAAGAAATTCTGTACTTCCCCAATGAGATACACTAGTCAAAGATAAGAATTAGGACAGTGCCAAGGCACAGAGCTAAGAGCAGAAACACACTTCAAGAAAGAGATCAGCCCTACTGCAGCGTCAGAAACTGCAGAGAGAAGTGGCCGGTGACCAAGGAGACACAGTGTGACCAGTGAGCTGGAAGCTGCTAATCTTTGAAGGAAAACTTGCCAGCAGCAGCGTCCAAAGACAGACTTCAGTGGGCTGAATGAGCGGAAGATGAGGGAGAGACGCACCTAGCACAAACCGCTGGTTCAAACCACGAGGAAAGGGAGGAGAGCAGGGATGTGTGAAGAGACTGAAAGGCCAGCAGCACTTGAGGGCGGGGCTTCACTGCTCCGTTAAAAGGATCAAAAAAAATGGGGCGGAGCCTGTGGCTCAGTGAGTAGGCGCTGGCCCCAAATACAGAGGGTGGCAGGTTCAAACCTGGCCCTGGCCAAATGGCAATAAAAAATAGCCGGGCATTGTGGCAGGTGTCTGTAGTCCCAGCGACTAGGGAGGCTGAGGCAAGAGAATCTCCTAAGCCCAGGAGTTGGAGGTTGCTGTGAGCTGTGATGCCACTGCACTCTATTAAGGGCAATAAAGTAAGACTCTGTCTCTAAAAAAAAGGATCAAAAAAATTAAATGTGTTTGGAAGATAAGCAACAGACAACAGAGAGAAAGCTTGAAGATCCATAAGGAAGAAATTTTTTAAAGGAAATGAAGACAGGTCCTGGAAGGGTCAGGGCAGGGACCAGAACCGGGAACAGGCCAGCATTTTAAAAAAATGTTCTCTATACAAATACTTCCATGAACTTAAAAAAAAAATAAAATTAGGCCGGGTGCAGTTGCTCACACCTGTAATCCTGTCACTCTGGAAGGCCAAGGCAGGTGGACTGCCTGAGCTCACAGGTTCAAGACCAGCGTAAGCCAGAGTGAGACCCTCCCATCTCTAAAAAGTAGCCGGGTGTTGTGGCAGACACCTGTAGTCCTAGCTACTTGGGAAACTGAGACAAGAGAATCACTTGAGCCCAAAAGCTTGCGGTTGCTGCAAGCTATGTCCCACTCTCCTAAGGGTGACAAGTGAGACTCTGTCTCAAAAAAAATTAGAGAAGCATAAAATGTGAGTTCATTGGCTCGGCGCCTGTGGCTCAAGCGGCTAAGGCGCCAGTCACATACACCTAAGGTGGCAGGTTCAAATCCCCAGCCCGGGCCCGCCAAACAACAATGATGGCTGCAACCAAAAA